CGCCTTGGCCAGGGACTGCATTTCTCCTGAATGAGCTCAGTCCCCGGGGATGCGGGACCTGGGGCCAGGCCAAGATGCAGCTGCCGGCATGCTGACCGGGAACCTGAGAATGTGCCCTCTGCCTCTCCTCCCAGGCCCACAGGCCCACCCTCTGTGCGGAAGCCAGGCCAGGTCCTTCTGCCCAGGCGGGGGCGCCGTGGGAGCCCAGTGGATTCAGCAGGGTGAGGCCTGCCTGGCTACATGGGGTGTGGCTGGACCCCAGGGTCTGGGGACCCAGACAGGCCTACTGGACACGGCCTCTGTGTGACCCTCTGATGCTACAACCCTCCATGGCTCCCCACTGCGCAGAATGGCACAACCTCGACACCTCCCCGGCTTCACCTCCCTTCTTCTCGGCCTTGCTAGCCTTTATGCAGGCTATTCTCAAGACCAGGAACCCCATTTTTATACCCTGGAGGCTTTTTTAAAAACCTAGCCACTCAGGGGGCAGGGATTTAGCTCAGTGGTTCCACCACCTGCCTCGCAAGCCCAAGGTCCCGAGTTTGATCCCCAGTACCAAAAAACAAAACAAAACAGAAACCTAGCCACTCTGGCTGACTCTCCAGCTCTTCTCACCTTCATTCAGTCATTCAACAAACATTTATTGACTACCTACTTACTTGGTGGCAGGTCTTGTTGTAAAGAGAGGTGGCCCAAAAAACAAAACAGGAAGGCAAAGACCTAAGAGCTATTCAGATGAAGTGTGACTGGGGGGAAGGAGAGATTTCAGCCTAGGAGTTGGGATGGGCCTCACTAAGGAGGGAATCTTAGAGCCAAGACCTAAAGGAGGAGAAAAGATCTGGGAGTACAGGTCAGCAAATGTGAGTCCCATCTGGGCAAGACCCTGTCTTACAATAAAAAATAAACTGTAAAAAGGGCTGGGGATGAGCTCAGCAGTAGAGAGCCCCTCATTTCAATCCTTGGTGTCGTGAGAGAAAGGAAGAAAGGAAGGAAAGAGTTGGAACAGCAGAGAGCCAGAGGAACAGTGTTCAGTTGCTCTGACAGATCTGCCTTCTTATCTCCCAGGGAGCCATTCCGGAGCTTGGTCTCTTCCATCCGGGCTCTGACCCCTTCACACAACCCTGCCTGACCCCCCTGCAGTCTTCGAGCTCTGTGGGCATCTGTCATGCTTAACGCTGAGTCTCAGGATCCAGCACAGACCGGATGCAGAGGCAGTGAAATAATTCTCTCTTTTCCTGTGCTGGCGATAAAATCCAGGGCCTCACACATGCTAGGCAATTGCTTTACCATTGAACTGTCTCTCAGCCTTAATCATTGCTGCTGAATGAATGCATCAGGAGCCAGGACCCAGCCTGTCACCTCTCCCTGCTCTGCATCCCCCTCTCCCTCTCCATTCTTCCCTTCTCTGCCCCACTCTATGGTCCTTGTAGATGTTCCCATCCTCTGAAGGCCTGGAGATTTAACTCAGTGGTTCTGGCGCCTGCCTTGAAAGCGCAAGAATCCGAGTTCGATCCCCAGTACCAAAAAAAAACAAACAAACCCCATCCCATCCTCTGGCTTCTGGGTGAGTTTGGCTAGTAGGAGTCACTGGCAAAAGGTGAAGCTGGAATAAAGTGAGAAAGGGACATTAACCCTCTTAGATCTCTTCCTACAAGGTCACTGTGGCCACCTGTGTCCCTTGACCAAAGATCCTGTCCACACCACCCTTCCTCGAAGCTCTGCAAATTCTCTTCCTTCCCCTTGCCAGGGAAGGGCAGCCAGACATGGCGATGGGTGTTTGCTTCAGGGTGTTGCAAGAATCCATGTTGCTTTTCCCCAACTCTGTCCCCACGCCCCCAACTGGATGAGGACAGTCCCCATAGCAAATCTATCTCAAAACTTCCCATTTGAATGTGTCAGTTGTTCCCTCTCCATCCCTGCTTAACCTACTCAGAGCTCCCAAGCCCTGGTGCTCAGCTGTCCCTCCTGGCTTTCTCCCTTATGTCGTGGGGGGAATTTAGCCCGCCTACATCCTCAGCCCTCTGCACAGCTCAGTCCTCCTCCTGCACCTCAAGCTGTTCTGAAAACCACAGACTCTGCCGGTGCCCTTGGCACTCCCCTCCCCTCCTCCACTGCTGGGTGGCCACTTGCCTGCTGGGCATCCTACTCGTGTGGCCTCTCTCTTCTGCCTGTCTTTCAATGGTAAGGGCCCCTAGGGCTCAGTCTCAAGTGAGTCTTAGTCTCTACTCTGTTGAGGACAGACTCCACACTGTCTCCCAGCTTCGTCTCCCTCCCCCACCACACACTGATGTATTCTGGGCCATCTGTCTTCAGCCCGGATGCTTCTAGATCTCCCATCCCAAGGGCCCAGACTCCTCAGGTGAACATGCCCCAAACTTGCCTCTGTGCCTTTCCAGCACCTCTTCTCCTGTCTCAGTGCTTGGACTGGATTCCCATTCTCTAAGGTCCAGACCACACCCTCTGTTCTGGCTTCCCCACTCTCTGGTCTGGCTACATCACCAACCCCCAAAGTAATATTCCAGACACACAGATTTGTCCCAGGCCCTCCCTTGCTGGCATCTGAAATCCTTTACAATCCCCCCACCATCTTCCTTTCCCAAACTTTCCTCCTTGTTTCTTGAAAATGATAAATCACCCGTGCGTGGGAGGCTTCTGGAGGTTGAAGCACTTTTTTTTTTTTTTCAAAGTTCAGCTCCAAGGTCACCTCCTCCAGGCAGCCTCCCCCGCCCCCTCGTCCTCCTCGTCGCCCCCCGTCCCCCAGCCGGACCACACCGGGCTGGCAGTGACTCTTTCCGGCTGTCTCCTCCGCCCTCCTCTAGTCCCTGGCCAGCGGCATAGAACTGGTGGCACGAAGAGATGAAGGAATGAATGAATGGGCGAATGATGGAAAGTGGTCTGAATGAATGGGTGAGTGTGTGAATGAATGAATGGCGAATGATGGAAAGTGGTCTGAATGAATGGGTGAGTGTGTGAATGAATGAATGGCGAATGATAGAAAGTGGTCTGGAGACAGGGGCTTAAAAAATAAGAGTGAGTCTGAGCCCAGGAGGACCTCCACCCGTAGCTCTCGAGTCTTCTGCTCCCGCCCAAAGTGAATCGAACGCTTAGCCCCAGGGTCGGAAGAAAGACGCTCTGTGATTGGCTCAGGCCGGGAGAGGCGAGTCTAGGCCATGATATGAATTTCTATTGGCTTACTCCCCAGAACTCTGCCCAATCAACGCGATCGCTTCCTCCAGAAGACCCCCCCCCACCCCGCGCCCACAACCTGAAAGGCGGAAGAGGGCGCCTTCTGGTTACCCTGGCAACCATCAGTGGACCCGGAGTAGTCCCGGCAACTGTCAGAAACCTCCCGTCAGCCTTTGCTTGGGCCTCTCCAGTCACCCGGACAACCGCTACCCGTTCCGATCAACCATCAACCCTTCCCCCGTCACCCTGGCAACCATTGATAGACCCTCCGCCTCCTGGACGCTGTCCTCAACCTGCCCACAGGCCTCCTCTCTCCAGACCTCTATTCCAGGCTCGGATCCCTAGGCCCCATGGTTCAGGTCCCTCTTTTCGTGCCCCAGAGGGAGGCGGGTGTTGGTCCCACCCTGCGGGGTAGGGGGAGTAGCTCAGGTCCTGAGGGTTCCTGCTCTGGCGATGCTGAGGGACTGCACTGGGCTGAGACAGCCCCTTGCTTGTCTCTCTGCTCGCGCTCTTGCAAGGAACTCAGCGGCCACCACAGGGAGCTCTTCAAAATGCAAGCCATGTCCCTCCCCTGCTGAAAACCTCCCCTCGCTCTGCTTGAGAATCCAATCCAAACTCCTCCTCAAAGTCCCTGGCAGTCTAGTTAGCAGCCACTGGCTTCCACGTTGTTTATCCAATAACCTGAGCTCCTTCCCGCCTTGGATCTGGCTCTTAATGTTTTCTGGGCAAAGTGAGTCCCTCACCATCACCAGGGTCCCACCTGTGGGTCCTCAGGGGAGCTTTACCTGCTCTGTCACTTGTCTTCCCCTCTCCTCTGTGTACCCCAGAGCTCCAAGATTGCCTCTGGGGCTCTATCCCTGGGAACAAATACAATGGCTGGCACCCATGGTGAGAGAAAGCAAGTCTTTTGGGGGACAAGGGAGGGGCGGGCAGGCTCATACCAAAATAAGACTTTCTTTGGGAGGGGGATACTAGGGATTGACTCTTCAGCTGTCTTTATTTTTTGAGAAAAGGTTTTGTTAAGATGCTCAGTCTGGGATGGAACTTGGGATCCTCCTGCCTCAGCCTCCCAGAGTGCTGGGATTACGGGTGTGTGCCACCATGGCTGGCTAAAAGAATGTATTTTTCAGGTCTTCTGAGTCCTCAGCCTGCTGGTGTTGACACTGTCCCCAAACCTGAGCAAAAGCCAGGAGAGAAGTCGATGCTGTGACCAGCTTGGGACTGTGTAGTCCACCCTTCCTCTTGTAAAACCCTTGATTGGACTTCTAGAAACTTGGGCTAATTTTAAGCAGAAGATTCTAGGGGCTGAAGGGGCAGGACTCAGAGCCCAGATGGCCATTCAGGGAACTGGTGCCTTTCTGGGCTGAGTCCAAAATCCCATGTATCCTAAAGATCCCAGAGCTGTTTTCCCAGGGCTCTGAAACAGGTCAGCTTGGGCTGGGGCAAGAGAACTTGACCTGACTTAACCTTGGTCCGGATAGGGAGCAGGGCCTGGGAGCCACCTGAGCCTGGCAGCAGAGGAGTCTGCACACCTACCTGCCTGCCCGTGAACGGCTTGCCGTGGTGAAGTGACATGTCCCTGTTAAACTAAGGACACCCTCCGACAATCTAATGAAGTCTTTTTTTGAGACAGGGTCTTGCTATATATTCTGGGATGGCTTTGACATGATCTCATCCAGGTTGCCCTTGAACTCACATTGAACCTCCCGCCTCAGCCTCCTGAATGCTGAAATGTCAGGTGTGTGCCACCACACCAGGCTTAATGGAACTTTCTTCATCAATATGACAAACAAGCACTTGATATACAGCCAGTGTGACTGAAGCACTGCATTTTTTCATTGGATTTCATTTGGATGAATTCACATTTAAGTGGAAGTAACCACACATGTCTAACGCTACTGTATTGGATTCAGTAGTGAAGAAGGCTTAAGACCCAGGTTCGAGTCAGAAGCCAAGGACAGAAAGGCCAGAGATGCCCGGGTGTGAGCACAGGGGCTGGTGTGCCTCACGCATTTCTGTGTGACACAAGTACATTCAGACAGCAGGTGTGTGTTCCTAAGTGGAGCTGTGCACCCGGGAAGGGAGGTGAGCAAGGGCCACTAGTCCAGCAGGTCTTGCAAGAAGGCCCACATGTACTGGTGCATCTCCTGGGAGTGGCTCTGTGGGATATAGTGTCCTGCATCTGGAAGGATGTGGGCCTCCAGCCGGCCTGGCACAAAGCGGCTCTCGATGGCCCTCACCATCCCCACCTGGAAGTAGGGGTCTTTCTCTCCCCACAGCAGCAATGTAGGTACAGCCAGCTCCTGGGGCTCCAGGGGGACGTTCCTGTGGTGGAGGCAGACAGACAGACAGACAGACGATGATCACTCCTACTCCCTGCCTCTGGAACTCTCCTGAGCTTCCACCCTGGGTGTGGCCTCACCTGAAGATGTTTCGGTAGTAGTTGATGGGCCCAGTAAGGCCGCAGGGCTGAGAGAAGCCATAAAGGAAGGCCTCGAGCTCATAGGGGGTCAGGTGTGGGATGCCTGTCTTTCGGCCAGTGAGGGAGCTCTTCAGGATCTGGGTAAAAAACCAAGGATCTGGCTGCAGTGTCCAGCCTGCTGGGTCCAACCCACTGCCCCCCACCCCCAGACCTTCACCCCACTGCACCTGGAAGTCAGACATGGATAGCAGCTTCTCTGGCAGCCTGGGAAGCTGGAACAGGAACACATAGTTCGATCTGAAGAACTGGCTGATGTGGTGAATTGAGTAATCTAGGAACAAGAGGAGGGGAGGTGGATGTGTGGCCTAGGCCAGGGGTGGCCCTGAACCCCTATATCCCCACACAGACCCAGTCAAGCACACAGGCCTCATGAATGAATGCCACCATGGCTGTTGGTGAAGACACCAATGCGCCCTCCTGGTCTAGGGCCCAGCACTCCTCCCTACCAGGGAGTCACTGTATCCACACAATGGGGGCACATCCCTCTGCAGCTCTGGTGTGCTTCCCCTGTCCAAGCACGCCCTTGCTTCATTCAACAAACACTTATTGAGTACCTACTATGTTCTAGGCCCTGTCCTAGACCCTGGAGACACAGTAGTGAATGAGGTAGAAAAACTCTGCCATCAGGGAGCTGACAGTCTAGAGGAGGAGACAGATAGAAAACAGCAGAGATGGGCCGGGGATTTAGCTCAGTGGTTCTGGCACCTGCCTTGAAAGCACAAGGTCCCGAGTTTATCCCCGGTACCAAAAAAAAAAAAAAAAGAAAACAACAGAGAGAAGAGAGGGAAGAGGGGAGAGAGGAAGAGAATAAACACAATTATGACTACAATCCATGCTGAGATTTAAAATCAGGTGAAGGCTGGGGTGTAGTTCAGTGGTAGTAGAGCACTTGCCTAGCATGTGCAAGGCCCAGGGTTCCAACCCCAGCACAGCAAAATCAGTGAGTCAATCAAAATGAAATCAGGGCAGGTGATACAGGCTGGGGCTGTAGCTCAGCAGAGTGTGTGCTTAGCATGCATGAGGCCCAGGGTCTAATCCCTGACACCAAAAACAAAACAAAACAGATACACACACACACACACACACACACACTCCTAATCCCAGGAGCCCTGTGTGGGTTACTGTATGCATGCTCCTCGTCAGAGGCTTTTGTTACAGGTTGAGCATCCCTCATCTAAAAATCTTAAATCTGAAATGCTCTAAAATCTGAAAATTTTTTTTCCCGATTTTTTTGAGACACAGTCTCACTATGTAGTTCAGCCTGGCCTTGAACTCATTGTGTAAGCCCAGGCTGGCCTTGAACTCAAGTGCTGGGATTACACCATGCCTAAATTTAAAATCTAAAATTTTTGAGTGTCCACATGGTGTTATACGTGGAAAATTCCTTACCTGACCTCTGATGTATCAATGTACAATCTTTTTCACACACACAAAAATATTTAAAGTATTCTACAAATTACTTTCAGCAGGCTGGGGATTTAGCTCAGTGGTTTTGCCACCTGCTGCGCAAGCACAAGGACCTGAGTTTGATCCCCGGTACCAAACAAAACCCAAAAAAACAAATTACTTTCAGCTTATGTGTATAAGGTGTATATGAAACAAATTATTTCATGTTTAGACTCAAGTTCCATCAGCAAGATATCTCAATATGTGCGTCCAAATACTCCAAATAATATGAAATTCAGAATACTTCTAGTCCTAAACAGGTGTGTGTGACAGTCTGCGTGTGTGTATGTGCTCATGTGGATGTACTGGGGATGTAATCCAAGGTCCTTTTTTGTTGTCTTTTGGGGCGGTTTTCAGTCAGGGTCTCCCTTTGTAGTTCAGGCTGGCCCTGAACTCACTATGTAGCCCAGGCTGGCCTCAAACTTGCATCGATCCTCCTGCCTCAGCCTCCTGAGTGCTGGGATTACAGGCGTGCACCAGCACACCGTGTACCACCACACCCAGTTTGTAATCCAAGGTCTTGAGCATGCTCCACAAGTGTCCTATCACTCAGCTGCAACCTCAGTCCTGGTCCCAAGCATTTTGGATAAGGGATACTCAACTTGTTCCAGTATGTGGGTTACTTCTTAGTGTACTCTCATTGATTTTACTTATTTATTACAATATAGGAGATTGAACCTAGGAAGCACTGGCCTACATCCTCAGCAATTTTTAAAGAACCTTTAAAATTTTTAAAATTTTGAGACAAGAGCTTGCCAAGTTGCTTAGGCTGGCCTTGAACTTTTGATCCTATCTCAGTCATCTCTGTAGCTGAGATTACAGAGCAGCTGTGATTACAAGTGTGTGTCACCACCCCTAGCTCTGTCACTGACCCTAGATTGAGGAGTGCCGCAGGGAGGGGACAGCCTGGTATATGAACAGGAGAATGGAGATATATAAACACAGACACATGCCCGCCCGCCCCCCCACCGCCCGCTCACAGGCACTTTTCCCCCAGCATTCCCAACACACCTTGGAACACCGACATGGGGGGAGCACTGACCACTACCATCCGCTCAACAAGGGATGGGAAATAGATGGAAAAATTCCAGGCTAGGAGAGCGCCCCAGTCGTGGGCCACGAGGATGCACTTGGAGTAACCTAGGGGACAGACATGCTGGTGTAAGATGCCAGGTATGGGTGAGGTAGGAGTGGGGGATGTAGGTCCCAACAAGGTACCCCTGGGATGGGGGCTTGTTCCCACCCAGGCCCAGGATGATATCCTGGATGTCAGCCATCAGCAGGTCGATGGTGTAGCATTCCACATCCTTAGGAGCCTCTGAGGGGACATAGCCACGAAGGTTCACAGCCACGACATGGAAGCGGCTCTGGAACTCCCGGAGCTGGTAGCGCCAGGAAAACCTGCCCAGTGGGAGGGGATGTAGGGGGAGCTTGAGTCAGGGCCCCTAGGCTGCACCTCCACCCTATGCTCAGCAGGGTTCTTTGGTGACACCACCTTCCGCCTCTGGTCTTCCCAGAAGGGAGGATGGGGAACCCCGAGCAGAGGAAGAAGCCAGCTGCACCCCAGATCCAGGACAGCCTCAACATCAATAGCGTTTCAGAGCCATCCCTCCAGGGCCTACAGATAAATCCTTGGCATCCTGGAGCAGTCCCTGCCTGCTTCCGAACCATCTGGACCCTAGATGCTCTGCACCCCCAAGAGTACTCAGCCCTCTTCCCCACACCCTGGGTGCCCAGTCTGGGCTCCACCTCTTCCCAGTCCCTTAGGCTCCAGGCCCCAGGGCCCTGGACATACCAGTTCTGAGGGAAGCCGTGCAGAAACAGCATCAGGGGCCCGTTGCCGCGACCAGCAGAGACAAAGTGCAGACGCAGGCCCGAGCTCTGCGGGAGGGCACCATCTAAGGCCTGGGACCCTTCCTCCTTGGGCCCCAGCCCCTTCACACACACACACACACACACACACCCCGCAGCTCACCCTGAGGTTCAGGAAGCCGTGCTCGCCCAGTGTGGGGTCTACCAGGCAGGCAGGAGCCGCGCACCGGGGGCGCCCGTAGTAGCCACGGCGGGGCCTGCACAGCACGTGCGTGAGCGCGATGCAGCCGTAGACAGCGGCAGTCACTATCGCAGCCGAGTACACGAAGATCCACATAAAGAAGCGCAGCAGCTTCAGCGAGACGCGCGACGGCGCCAGCAGCGCGGTCACCACCAGCTCGGGCATGTTGCCGTGCTCCAAGACGGCGACGGCTTTGGCGGGCGAAGACCGAGCTGAGCACACCGGCAGCAGCGGCGAAGAGGAATCGGACTTTGGGAGCCTACTGCCTTTGGTCCATGACCCCTTCGTGCCGTCGGGGTTGGCTGGAGGCGCTGCAGGAACAGAGAGGGATGGCTCAGACAGAAACTGCCACCGCTCCATGACTCACCTACTGGGGCAGGTAAACATCTGGGCGCGACGCTGCCCGATAGAGTGAAGGGGCGGAACCCGGGAGGACCTGGCTTCTGTGGTTGGGGAGGGGCTTTGGGGAAAAAGGGGCTCAATGGACGGGGCACACAAAGGCCTGGACGGGTTGGAGCTTAAGACAGGTACAGGGGCCTAGGAGGACTTCTGCAGCAGGTGAGGAGGGGTCTCTAAAGGAGATTGGGAGCCGGAACAAATAGAGGGGACGGGGCCCTGGGCGAAATGGGCGGAGACTCGCGCGAAGGGGCGGGGCCTACGCCTTGGGAGTGCGGCTCTTGAGCCCGGAAGGTGGACCAGATTTGGCTCAGGAGCGTTGTAAGGATAGAGGCGTGGCTTCTGCAGGTGGGAAGGGAAGTGGGTGGGGCATAGAGCTGGGGCCTAACATTGGGCGGATAAGGACGGAGGTTGGCCCAATGAATTGAGGATTGGCCCGGGATTGGGCCAATGAGGCCGGGGGGCGGAGCCAAACAATACGGCGGGTCGGACTGGCCGGAAAGCGGAAGAGAGACCAGCAGTGCTATGGCTGGGACTGGCAGGGAGGTGTGGTCAGTCACAGCGGCCCGAGAGGGACTCAGGAGCCCCAGCCAACCGCCCTCCCCCTCGACTGCTTCCTTCCCTGGAGTGCGCGACCCTCCCTGATCTGGCTGACCCAGTAGCACCTTTATCCAGCTCTGATTCCAACAGCGGGTCCAGAGGCCGAGGTCCCACGCAGTCCTCCTGCTGGCCCAGCGGGTCCGACGGCCCATCCTTACACAGCTGTGATTGGACATCGGCAGCCATTGATGTCCTAGCGACACGTCTTGGTCCCGGTGCCAACTGGCAGGTGTTGTGGTTGGTCCGGGCTTGCCGATGGTGGCTAAGAGGAGCTCCTGATTCCTGGAGGGTAAGTCCGGCTTTGATGCTTCCTGGAAGAAGACTCGGTAAATTGAGTCACTGCCTCTGACAAAAAGGAGTCAAGGCTGGGTTGGGCAGAGTAGAGCATGACGGGGCACCGGATTAGAATCCCATTCATGCAGGGAGCCAGTGTCCTGTATTTTGCAACCTTCAGGGATCCGTGTCTATTTTGGGGACAACCACTGTAGGCAGTGTTGGTCACATTCTTGCATTACAAGAACCTGAAATTTGTGGATGAAGTCACGTGTCTGTGAAGTCACTTGTGGCTAAAGAGCAATCCAGGAAGACTGATAAAAACCCATCCCCTAATCGCTTCTGGTTGATAACTAGGTATCCCAATGTGTGTTATGTGCCTATTTCTTGTTTAATTTGGAACATCATCTATTGACTTGCTGACATTACCACCACTGAACATGCGTTTCCATTTTAGTTTTTCTATTGGTTTCCTCTAAGACCCCATTTTCACATCACCCACCGTCCCTTCTTCCTGTCATCTATATAGCTTTGTATTATCTGGGTACTAACCATAATTAACCCCATGGGTTGCTAGGTAAAGGTGAATGCCCATTCATATTGTTCTGCCTCAGTGAACAATGGATCTCAAAGTTGGAGTACATTGCCTATATTGAACTACCTTTTTGCTCTCCCTAGATTTAACCACTCATCTTTGTTATTAGCCTGTGTCCTAACTTTGGTCTCCTTTACACTTCATGTCCATTTATCTGACAACTTGACATTGCTAGAACCTTTCCACAGTCCTCTTCAGGCTGCACGGTTGGTGGGTGTCTTCTAACTCTAGAACACACCCCTAACCAGTCCTCACCCCACCACCTCCTCCCAACTCTACCCTCAAAAAGACAGCAGTACTCACAGGAGGGTAACTTTATGTTCAGTACAAATGTTTATTTTTGCAATGAGAACTGCACAAAAAAAGAACTTTTAGTATATAAGTGAAAAGTCTACGAATTCCTTTCTACAAATGTCTAGTGTTTTAATACAAGTCTCAGATTCACTGACATAATTATTGGCCAAGCGATCCGTGCATACAGTACAGTGGGGGCTTGTACACACCTCTTACTCTTGTATAGGACTAAGATTTCTAGTACTGTAGGAGGGGCTGGATAAATGGCCAGAAAAATTAAATAAATCCCAGTTCTAATTACAACCCAGTTTGAGAAACACCCATCAGGGAGGTGTGAAGGCCATGGCAGAATGAAATCTTTAGCAGGAAGGTGCAGATGAAACCATCTCTCCAGCTCAACAGTTGGACCCAGCCTGGGGAAGTTTCTGAACAAAAACAGAGGGTGGGATGAAATGGAAGAAACCCCACAGAACCAAAATGTCACATTTGAACTGGCACGGTGGTGCATGAAGTGCCTGAGATGGTCAAGGACATGGAGGAAATGTGTGGTGGTGGTAGTGGGAAGGCACTGGCTGAATGCCTTATTCTACCCTTTGAGGTTTGGCAGATCTTAAACATAGGGTAATAAAAGGGCCTTTCTGATTGAACAGGGGGGATGTTAGTAAACAGTGCTAGAAATATTTCAATGTTTGTCTCTGGATACATGTAAGTTATGTACTTTACCTTACATCCCAGGGGCTGTTGTAGGTGCCACCTGTGCTTGTGGGTGGGGCATGTACTTACAGGTGGATACAAGCAGAGAAGCTACCTGTGGGTGGGCTTGGGTGAAAATGTACATGTGTTCGAATGAAGATCCTATTTAGGGGAATGTACATTTACCTATGAATATCCGGTTAACCCTGAGCTTGAATGAAAAAGAGGCGGAGGCAACCGAGGTGGAAGTGGCCCAAATCCTTTGATGCATGAATGGACCAAGATGAAGGAGGGAAAATGGGACGAATAGAGTCTGGAGTTTGGCCAGGGTTCTTCTAGGACAGGTCACCTACCTAGGCCAGGGTCCACATGAAGAATGGGCTTCTGGGCTCCCTGTCAGCTTCAGCTTGGGTGGCAGCTGTGAGCCTGAGCACCTCCTGCCCAGGAAAGGTAGGGATAAGCCACATGAAAGAGGCTCTGTGGCTAGAGTCCTTAGTTCTCATGCACAGGTGGCCTGGGGGGCAGGGGAGCCTGGGCCTACCCTAGGCCAACAGTTGGTTCACAAAGAAATGTCAGGGAGACGCCAGCATTAAAAAAGAGAGATGTGTTTATTCCATGATCAGTACAGACCAAATGCATATTCACCGTATGAAAGTCAAACCAGTCAGTGACTCCAGAGTTTGGCCAACAGAGGCACCAGCGTTGTGGTGTAGAGTGGGTTCTCATGGCACACGTAACCTCACCAAGGGCTCCAATTATAAAATTAAAAAAAAAAAAAAAAAAGTGTGGGAGGGAGCAGCCAGCTGGTTGGGACTGGGTGCTGGGTGGGGGAGCCTCTGCCTCAGTTTGTGGCACCCCCAATCATACTGGGGCCTACCTGTCCCCAGGCCCTTCCTTTTATTGGTAAAAAACTAAAAGACTTGACATTAAAAAACAAAGAAAAGCCAACAAATGGGCACTGAGGGAAAGGAAAAGAAATTATAGCTTTCTGGGTTTATAATTAAAAAGACTAATAAAAGTTTGAAATGAGAGTAAAATATAGGTTGAGATTTTTCTGTTTTGATTTTTTTTTGTGGATTTTTTTGAAAAAAAAAATTTCTTTTACACCAGTTTGGTGGAGTCACCCACAAACTTCAAACAAAGATATGCCAACTATGTTCACTATACAGTACAGCCACGGTCACACACTACCCACAGCGCGGTGGGAGCCGCCGCTCAATGAGGAGACGATCACACCATTTCGGAAATAAGCAGTGCCATTGTGTCTGGAGGAGAAGAGAAAATTAAAAATAAAATAGAATTCAAAAAAAATATATATATAGAAAAACAAAACAAAACAAAAAAACACAGGTGGGAAGGGACTGACTTTGGTTGGTGGCCTCACCCCGGGCAAGGCCCGCCCACATACGTGGGACGGTCACCTCTATTCGAGTTGCCATGGACACACACACCTCCACGGCACTATTCCCTTTTGCACAAGCGAACACTTATAGAGAGCGGCTCTCGATTAAAGGCTTGTGGGGAGGAGAGAAGGGGATCTGTTCAAGGCAAAGTCAGTGCCAGCAACGGGGTATGCCAGTGCCCTCGCCTGCTCCAGTCCATGGGGGCCTGCCCTGGCCTCCTGGGAGCGAGTGGCGATGGCTGGGGTGTGGAGGACTCCCAATGGGCAGACGTCACAAACGTCACGTTCTCAGGGACAGAAAACCAGTCACGGTGGCGGCAGCAACAATGTCCTGTGTATACTGTGTAGACGTTTGGCGGAGAAAAGGGCCACTTCCCCACACGGGGACGCAGGCCTTGGGTCCAGCCGGCACTTGCTGGAATCGAGGCGTGCTCTGAGCCGACGTCCTGTGAGGAGGTGGCAGGTGGCGGGACGTCCGTCCAGCTGGCTGTAAGGCAGATGGGGGCTCTGCGATCCTCAGCTGCCCATCAGGCCTGCCCCGGGCATAGCATGCAGGAGGACCAGGCCCAGAGACACCCCTGGCCACTGCTACCGCCTCCACTGCCACCCCTAACACTATGGAGAGTCAATGTTTTGCCAGAAAATCAAAGTCAGAAGTCACCTAGGTGCTCTCAGAAAAGATTTTCTTCAAATATTGACAACAGATCACTCTGGAAATTCATGTCAATCGTAGCTGCCATCTGCAGAGGAAGAGAAGGAAGGAGGGAGTGAGGTAGGGTTTCTGCCCCTGCTGTGGTTCCAAGACCCCCTACCCCTGTATGTTGCCTGAGTTCGGCCATCAGACCTCCTGGGCCTCTTCCACAGTGGCCAGCCCAGAACCTGAGCATTTGGGCCGCTTCTATCTGAGCTGAACCACCTCTGAGCCCAGCAGCCAGCCCTGTGCACAGCCATGGGCCTGGACTCTCTCTGCCCCACCCCACCCCCCTGGGCCCCTGGCCCATTTTGCCAGCTCCTCCAGGTGGACTCCTGCCCAATGGCCCCTACTAGGACCCGTAACTCACGGCCTCCCGGCGCCTTCGCTCCTGCTCCCGCTTCCGGGCCAACTCCCTCTGCTGGTCTAGCATGGACTGGGGCTGGGAGCTCTGGGCCTGGGGGACAGCAGCTGCGGCCACAGCGGCTGCCTGCTGCTGCTGCTGCTGTTGCTGCTGCTGCTGCTCCTGTCTCTGCTGCTGCTGCTGCTCCTGGCGCCGGCGTGCCTCCTCATGGGCCCGCCGAGCCTGCTCTAGTGCATCCTCATCCTCTCGGCTCCTGGGCAGAGTGGGGCCCCGGGTCAGGCTGGAGCCTGGTGTGGGCCTGGGAGCCCCAGTGGCCCCCCAGACCCCAGCCCACCTCATGCGCTCTTGCCGCAACCGCTCTTTCTCCTTCTCTGCGTGCTCGGCCTGAGCCTTCAAGGCCTTTTCTCGCTCCTCCTTCTCCCGAGCTGCACGGCGGAACTGCTCAAAGCTGTCACTGGATGACTTGGCTGTGGAGGACGGGGTGGTCGGATGCTTCTGTACCAGGCTGGCCCAGGAGCCCATGTTCTTGATTTTTAGGTCCTGTAGGGCAGAGAGGCCAGGGGACAAGTGAGGGGCCTGGTGCACCTAAAGGTCATGGCAGGGAGCTCAGGACACCCATGGACCTACTGCCTCTACCTTTTTGGGTGCCACTGGCGTCTTCGGCTCCTGTTTCTGTTTGTCCTTGTCAGGGGCCCCTGGCGGGGGTGCATTCTGCTCAGGGGGCCGAATGACAGGCCTCCCGACATCCACAGGCTTCATCTCAGGCCCTGGAACACAAAACAGCCTGTGGGCCTTGCCAACTCACCCTGTGGGGGTGGGTGGGATGGTTCTTGGGAGTGGGAGGGGAGGACACTCACGCTGGGGCAGGTGGACTGGGGCCTTGATGCTCTCAGCATGCTTGGGGGGCTCCGGCCTTAGCGAGGGGCTGAAGGGCTCACTGCGGATGATGGGTGAGTGGATCTTCTCCTCTTTTACCACCACCAGGGGCTGGGGCTGGACCACCGAGGGTGGGCGTAGCTCCTGGGACAGCACGGGCACAGTGGCCGGTGAGGCAGGAGGGCACCCTCAGCCCCAGCCCACACCTGGCCTGAGGGCCATGGCCCAGCCTGCCCTTTACCTGCTTCTTAGGCTGGACATTTTGCTGGGGTGGAGACTGGTGGGTCAGGCTCTGGAACTGTGGCATCTGGGGGGAATGTATCATAAGCGGGGAGGGGGCTTCACGGAGGTGACCTACGAGAGGTGACAAAGAGTATGTCAGGGGCCATTTGGACCTTGAGAGAATTACAATGCAAGGACAGACTGAAAGCAGAACCAACAAGTACCCCAGCCAAGCCTGAGAATAAAGATCCACACAATCTAATCCCTAGCCTGTGGGACCCTGCACAACAGTATTTGTTTGATTTGGTTCAGTTTGGCTTTTCAAGACAGGGTCTCACAATGTAGTTCACGTGGGCCTTAAACTTGTAGGGATCCTCCTGCCTCAGCCTCCTGAATGCTGACATTACAGGCACATGACACCACGCCCAGCACCGATCTTTTTAAAAAGCTTCCAGACAGTTCTAAACTGTGGCCTGGGCTAGATGCAGGGGGCACCAATAAACCCATAAGGCTCAGCCCAGGAGCCTCCCTTGTTTCTGTGCAGGTGGAGAGCTCTGACGGCCTGAGGTCCAGTTGCTAGGAGTGAGGGTAGAGCTCTTCAGGGGCCCCGTTTCCTCACTCAGCCTGTTCACTCTACAGAATGACAAAGCCTGGGACTTGGCCTCCATCTGGACAGAGCAGCTAGAACAGGTCCTGGAGGGCACCCATCTGTATCCAACCAAGGGGTCCAAGGGATTCAGTGCCCAGCACAGGTGAGAGAGCCCTTCAACCCCACTTCTGGCTGACTCAGCTGGACCAGTGAGGAAACAGCCCCAGGTCACAGGGAGCCAGTGCCTCAGCACAGGTCACAGGACAACTGCACATTGAGTCCCACTCATCTGAATGCATAGATACCCACTGCCTCAATTCTTTTTGTTTTTTTTTGGGGGGGTACCAGAGATCAAACTCGGGTCCTTGTGCTTGCGCAGCAGGCGGCGAAACCACTGAGCTAAATCCCTGGCCCCCACTAACTCAATTCTATGGGAAGGGACCTTGCTGCCTGTACAGCTCAGGATAAGCCACAGTGTCCACAAGAGAAAGTGCCTCTAACACCTTTTCCTTCCAGCCCTACCTCCCACTCACCTGAGTAATTTTATTTGGCCCCACATGCCAGCCCTTCCAACGATCTCCTCTAGGTCCTGATTCCAAGTTCCTGTCTGCTGCTACGGGGCCCCCTGGCTCAGGTACCCACTCTGACAGCTCTGTGCCAAACCATGATGGCCCAGATAACAGACCCTCCTGACCCCTTCCAGAGCTAGGACTCATCCCTAACCCCAGAAAGACATTGTAGCCTCTTGCTGCCACCGAGACGGAGGCAAAGCTCACCCTATTCTTGTAGTCCCACAACCTATGGGGCTAGTTTTGCTCACCTTGACATTTTCTCCCACTCTAGCCTGTCAGGACCCATCTGGATACTGCCACCCTCCTCCCCTGGCCTAGTTCCAGCTTGCCAACAATCCACAGGTAAATGACTTATGACAGCCTCCCGAGACTGACTTGGGCAGACAGGGTTTCACTATGTAGTTCGGGCTGGCTTTGAACTGACTCTGTAGCTGAGGCTGGCCTTGGACTCATCTTCCTGCCTCGGTCTGCTAAGTGCTGGGATTACAGGCATCCACTACCAGGCCAGCCTTTTAGGCCTGTGGTTTAAAGAGTGTCCGCCTTCACAAGCACAAGGACCTGAGTTCGATCCCCAGTACCAAAAAAAAAAAGTGTCCGCCTGCTGGTGGCTTCACATAGGTAGCCTAGGAGTTTGGGGGATGATGTTAGATAGCTGGCTGGGTACTTTTCGATGCCTCAGCCTTTGTGGAACTCTGATGACCTATCTTTTGTCCCAAAGACCCTAGCTGGGTTCCAAGCCACATGAGTTCTTATGCCTTGTCCTAGGCTTCAGGAGACTGGGTGCAGGCCTGGGGGCTCAAAGCAGAGACGGCCAGAGGTCTTGGCCTGGGCTACCCTGAGTGCCGGCTCTTCTGGCACCCATCTATCTATCACTTGCCTCACACAGGAAGTTTGGGATGCTGGCATGCTCTGGAGTGACAATAGCACAGCTGCATGATGATCAGGCCCAGCACCAGTTTTTCCCAGGGAGGACAGCCAGATGCTCTCAGCTCAGGGCATGCAGCAATCCAGTTGGCACCTGACAGCTTTCACTGGGTTCAAAAGCAGTCAGAGCCCTTGGTACACCCCCAAGGGAGACTCTTGCCCTGACCCTTAAAAGTAACCATGTCACAAGGCATTGACTGGAACATTTTCTAGCTGGGGGTGGCCTGGACATTTTGGTTCCAGACGCTTAAAAAATCAAATGCTTGGGAAAGGCAAAAGGGTGTGTGGCCCATGAATGGGAAAGGGCAGCCTGGACCAGCATAAAGACCAGGACAGTTCCTAGGGAGGCCCTGGGTGGCTTTTCAGCCTCAGTCCCAGTGCTCCCAGCACACCCTCCACACTGCCAGGTGCCCTTATGGTGCTGAGGGAACAACCTGTCTGTTCCCAATAGTCTCTTCAGTCCAGGACTAAACCTCACTTTCAACCTGCTTACTAAGTTAGTGCTTATACACTGGTGCCTTGGTTCACTTAATTCTTTCCGTAATTCTGGTCACAAACAAAATTGGATGAGAACTGAATCAATTCAATGGTTAGGTTCAAAGTCGACCTTGAGTTCATAAACTGAGGCACCATTGTACCATGGTTACCACCTCCAGGGTAGGTTTCCACCTACCCATTCTAGCAGGAGAATCAGTATACTGTAGTGCTCTAAGCAACCTCAGGTTACCAGCAAGAGAAACACCTGATAAACTTAGTGCGGGGGGTACTAATGCTCCCTGGATGCTTCCTCTCTCTCCAATCACCCAGAGCCCTTGGGGCTCTGCTCTCAGCCAACCCTTCTGGTTTTTCAAACCACAGGGCCAGGACCCCAGGAGAGCCCAGTGGCAAGGACCACTTACCTGCTGAGTAGGGATCTGACTTGTGGTGCCGGGGTGAAGGATGATGCTGGATGACTTGCTGAGGTTTGGCAGGCTGTGGTGGGGGTGGCTGTTGGCCTGGGGGCGGGTGGGGGGGCTGCTGGCCTGGTGGTGGCGGGGTCTGTTGGATGTGGGTGGAGAACTGCATGGGTTGCAAGTGCACAGGCCGTGGTGGGGGCTGGTGCTGCTGGGGTGGCGGCTGGGGCTGGGGTGGTGGTGGTGGGGGTGGCGGCTGCTGGAGCTGCTGCTGCACAGAGGGGTGGGGTGGAGGTGGCAGGGGGGGTGGAGGCTGGGACTGCACCTTCACGGAAGGGAGTAGTGGCGTGGGGGGCTGCACCTTCTGCAGCTGCTGCAGGTACAGCTGCATCTGCATGGAGGTGAGGGGTGGGGCAGGTGGCTCTTCGTCCTCCAGCAGCACCTGGGGGGGTTGAGCCATGGGGGGTTGTGGGAGCAGGGGTGGCTGGGCCAGGGCGGGGGATACGGCAGGGGGCCGGGGAGGCTTAGGGGGCAGGGCGGCAGCTCGGTTGCTGGGCCGAGATGGCTGCTGAGGCAGCGCGTTGTGCAAAGCTGAAATGACACACCAGGGTGGCAGTGAGTGCCCTGTGACCTTGGCCTGGCATTTCTGTTTCACGCTGACTTCATCTGGACTCTGGTGACCACCTCCTACCCTCCCTCCAGCTAGCAATCTCTTCCCACACTCCATGACTTCCCACAAACCTCAGAATGAAGACAGCTTCCAGCAAGAACGGGCTCTTCACCTGTCCCCATGCTCTGTGCCTTCAACTCTTCCTCTTGTTCCCTGTTCTCAGTGCAGGCCTCAGCCACTAATTCCCAGACCTGCACCAGCCCACCAGGATGGTAACCCTGGACAGTTACCACCCAGTACGTACTGTCCAGGACCCATACAACTAACTTTATCAAGATAAGTGACCCCCCCAGCCCGCTGGGAGCTGCTGAGAGGTTGTCTTTTTCCATCTAACACAACACCTGGCCCGGGAGAACGAATCCAGCATCTTCTAAATCAGAATACTAGCTAACTCCATGCCAGGCATGTCCCAGAGAATCTCCTTAAATTTCCAAGATGGCCCTCAGACTATGCAATCCCAGTATGGCAGAACCAAGGCAGGGAAGGGGTTACAGCCATGCTCACCTGGAGGAGAGACCACGGTATGCTGGTTGAGATGGGGTGGAGTGTTGTGCTCAGGTGGTTGGGGTAGGTGAGGGGGCAGCTCGGGCTGCTGCAGGTGCAGGATGGGCTGGGTGAAGTGGCTAATAGGGTCGAAGACGCTCCCTGGGAGCTGAGGCTCCAGGACTGGCACCTGGGCAGTGATGAAGGGCGGGGGCGAGGATTTCAGCGCCGGGGTTGCCTGTGGTGGCATAGAAGGCTGGGGCTGTGGGGGTGGGGGCTGTTGCTGCTGCTGCTGCTGCTGTTGGGGTGGCGGAGGCTGCTGGGGAGGCGGGGGTGGCTGTTGGGACACAGGAGCTGGGGCTGGCTGCATCTGCTGATGGTGGTGATGATGGTGCTGCAGGCAGACAGAAGACACAGGCTGACATCAGGCAGGCAGAACAGGCCCAGGCCTGACCTAGGCTGTCCTTGGGGCTCACAGGGCTGAGTACCTAGCTCTCATCTAAGGAAGGGACACCCAAGCCACATACCTTCTTCTGTTCCCTCCCAGGATGCCCCTTCTTTTTTGACTTCGGAGCCATCTCTGCAGAGAAAAAAGAAGGTAGTGAGGCTCTGGGGGAGAACGTTATAAGATGGCCTTGAATGCAAATGAAAACGGGGGGCCACAGGGTGTTCGGGATGGGGCCCACTGACACTGAGCAAGAGTGTCTGGGTTGGGTCCGGGAAGTTGGTCATTAGAGAAAGATATGTCACCTAACCATCTGCCCGCTACTTTTCCTAGTGGGGGGTATGTCTGAAAAAATCAAAGGCTCCCCCTGCCAAGCTTCAGCCCATAGGTACCATAAAAGGCTGCCCCCTTGGCTCCACTGGAAGCTGAGCTGTGGAGACCTTGCCCAATGCCTCCCCGTTCATGGTCAGGCTTCAGGCGAATGGGGAGAACTAGCATGCTCTGGACCCCACCCACTCCACCTGGGATGCTTGAAATGGTCCCATTCACTACAGACTTGAACGAAAGTGAGGTTAAGGGACTTGTTCAGGATTGCACAGCTACAACTCAGCAGTGTGGGGACCCCAAGACCACATGGCCCTCTGAGGCTCACAGCTTTCCATTTTCCCAGGGGAAGGAGAGCAGCTCAGGCTGGGATCAAAAGCTCAATGGTGTGGTCATGGGAGGGAAGCCTGGTCCCAGAGCCATGGGATGGGTGAGGGAAGCGCTGGCAAGTGCGAACCCAGAGGGCCCTTAAGGACCTCTAGGGAGGGAAGGAAGCACAATGGCCTCACCAGAATGACCAGGGGCAGGTGCTCACTTCCGTGGCTATAAAAGGAGGACAGCAGTCTGTGTCCCCTTCCTCAGGTGAGACAGACCTCAGAGAAGCCTTGTTCTGGGACACAGTAAATGTACTGCAGAGAAGGCAGCATGTGCCCTGGCTCCTCAGGGACTGATGGCTGGCGCTGCAGCTGTGCAGATGTGTCCGGGGCGGGCCTGCCTCCTTGAGGTGTGTTTAAGAGCCTGCACCCTAGATGTTCACTATAAGCAACTCTGGCAGGTGGATGCACCACTCAACACACAGACATTGTGCAAGCCCCAGAGAGAGAGAGCACCCCTGCTGGTACCCCTGGGCTGCCATGTCATATAGTTGCCAGCCACCAGGTGGAAGGTCAGAACCATGGAATGACACCTTCTGGATTCCTGTCACCGAGAGGCACCTTCTGGCTTTTGTGTTCCCCTGAACTACTTGTCAAGACACCAACTCTTGCTGCTGGTGTCAAAGGACACATCTTGCCCAAATCAAGGATACCACTCTGCTCAGAGCTGCTTTGAGGGTCACACTAAGCCTCTGTGAGATGCATGGCCGAGGTGCAGTGTGCCACCAAAAGGGATGAGAAGGAACCTCGTGCCAGGCAAGAGCTTACCACTCCATGCAAGAAACAAGACTCGGACACACACCTCAGCAGCTAGAGACACATGTCCTCATACAAACGGCCAAGGGTATTAAGCAAGGACACCTAGGGTACAGGCACCAAAGACCAGGTCCCAAACTTGAATACCAGAATAAAGGGCTCAGGAACCTTCAGGTTAGAGTGAAAACCTGAAGAGAGGGACGCTCTTGTGGGTGAGACATATGAAAAGGGAGCCTGGGCAGATTGGTGGGATCAGGGCAAAGGGCGCCTGCTGTTGCCGTGGAGTGAGGAACATTGGTTGGAGAGGCTGGGAGCCCCAGTGCCTCAGCAGCAGAAGCCCTGACCTGAGGGCAGGAGGAACAGGGCCAGGGCTTCTCGAGGATGGCCTCCTCTCCCAAACTATTCCAGAGCAAGGAGGCAGTGGCTGCTCAAATGCTGGGTGCACTTTTGAGGGAAGTCAGGCACGGAGAAGGTAAGCTAGGTGAAGAGGTCAGGCCACCATGTCAATCTGAATGTGAAGCTTTGTTTTTCCACTTACAAAAACCAGACCCCTGCTCTCTGCCCACAGGCTATGAACAGAGACCCACACAGGCAGGCTGGAGACCAAGCACAGTGGGCCTGTGGGTGTTCCAGGGAGCACATCATAGGAGTGTCCCAGGGCTCTTCTCCAGAGTGCAGGAGAAGTGGGAGGCACAATGCAGATACCCAGGCCGAGGTGAGACTAAAGGAGATGGTGGCAGGTGCTGAGGAGAGCTGGGGCCCCTGACTCCCATGGCTCGAGCCTTGTGTTGGAATTACCAGTAAGAAGACAAAAAGGAAGTGCACAGGTTCACGACACACCAGCCCCAGATCACCACCCCCACAACAAAACTCTCTAGAAAGGGTTACATGGAAATGGCCTCAAGTACTGTGTGATCTTTATTCCATGACAATCTTTAACTCAACACAAGTTTCATCTTTACATAGGATGATAATTGTACAAAGAAATAAAATGTTTTGGTAAAAATCTGATTAAAACACTGATTTCTCCCACCCCCGCCCTGCCCCACTCCAGCCAAGGAGACAGAAAGGAAGGTCAGGGCAGGGCGGGGCAGTTGTGGGGTAGGGGACAGGAGAGGAGAGGAGGAGGGCAGAAGAGAGCAGGCCTCCACTGCCCCGTCTGGCTCCTCTACCCCTCTTACATAGTTCCTCCACAGGACCCACAGCCAGCTGGTACACTGAGCACTCAGCTGGCACCTCGTTTGTTGCCCAGGAACAGGAGGCTGCCAACAAGGAAGAGTGGGTGGGCACTGTCCTTTCTGGCTGTGTTCCCTAGGCACTAAGCACAAGTGACAGCCTAAGTCTAAAGAGCTCTTAAGTTCAAAGGGCCCTGAGTGTTCTAGCCAGATGGAAACCTTGAGGGCAAGAAGGATGGGATGCCTGGACAGCAAGGGTGAGAGGATCCTGCAGAATGGCTGGCCTGTGTGCACATGTGTAGGGAGGGATGGGCAGCATGTGGCTGAGACTGAGGCCACCATGGGAATTCATGCTGCCATTCGGTCCAAGACAGCAGAATCTTCCCAGAAAGATAATGCCAGCAGCTTCCCAACTGTCCTGTGGGAATCTCTGGGCATGAAGCACCCTCATCCCATCCCAGCCAAGTTCACTGGGAACACATCAGGCACAGGCCAAAGGGCAGCTCAAAATAGTATGTTTGGCAAATGGAGCTGACTGGAAGCCGGATGCCCAGAGGTCTGGGAGCAGCCTAGGAACTGACAAATATCACTGCTGGGCCCAAGGAAGGCTGGGGCTACACCCTGTGGCCACAGAAGGTCTCAAGGGGCACCAAGCAGTCCAAAGACCTGAGGAGCTTGGGAGGGCAGTTGGTAGGGGTCAGCACCCATGGCCTGCCCATGAGTGGCACCTCCCCAACCTGCCAGCTCCAAAAGGTGGGTTCTAAGGTGCTGGATGGCTGCACATACAAATTACACTTTAAAAAAGGGGGAAAAAAGGGGTGGTGGTGGGGGAGTGTGCACTCCTTAAAATA